CCACCTACACCACCAACACCCCCCCCAACCACTAAACTATAATCACCCCATCACCAAAAGCCCAGGGGTCCGTCTTGTGCTAGCTAGTAGTAATAAATCGGTGCAATGATAAAAGATTTGCCGTCCAATAAACCCCATCTACTGGTACTCCAGGCTCTCATTTGTCCAGTCTCTTTTCAACACAGACCGCCATCTGTGCTCTGTCACCTCCGTTTTACTGTCGTGGCCCCCCGACCCTGTATTCAGGAGCTTTGAAGGGACCTGCTGCTTTAGTGTGTGTGTGGTGTGTGTGTGCTGCTGTGTGTGTGTGTGTGTGTGTTGTGTGTGTGTGTGGTGTGTGTGTGTGTTGTGTGTCTGTTGATCGTGTAGTGTGTGTGTGTGTGGTGGTGTGGTGTTGGTGTGTGTGTCGTTGTGTGTGTGTGTGTTGTGTGTGTTGTGTGTGTGTTTGTTGTTGCTGTTGTGTGTGTTGTGTGTTGGTTTGTGGTGTTGTGTAGCGTTGTGTGTGCTTGTGGTGTGTGTGTCGTGTGTGTGTGTGTGTGTGTGCTGTCGTTGCTGTGTGTGCTGTGTGTGTTACGACATATCTGTACGTGGGGTACCAAGAAGAGGGTGATTTTATCAACCCAAGAATTATACAATCCTTTGAGTTCTTTTCCAGCCCCCAGTCAATCGCTTTAGAGCATGTTGGAGGACTTCAAGGTTGCTTTTATTGCGGAAAAGAAGGGTCAAGGAAGAATTGTGAAAGCTATTTATAATAGGAGTGGCGTAGTGAACTATGCTTGTAGCCGACAACGAAGTTCAGCCGTTTGCCAAGTGCTGACGTTGACCCAAAGCGATGCGATTTTTACATTGCGCTTTAGATTTGCCTAGACGAATTCTTAGGTCTGTGGTAAACCCACTTTCTCTATTACTTAGTTGGTTTGTATTAGGCATCCGACAATTCCTACCATTAACCGCCTCACCTTTACGATGTATAGGAGAGTCAATTCAATAGCAGTAAATAACGAAGTTGCTAGGGTTAGGATCATAAGACAACTACATGACGGTGATTTCTTCCCACACAGCTGAGCCCCCTAACGCGGCTAATGTTTGGCGTGATGTGTTTAAAGTTGTCTCATTAGCCACTTGTTGCACCCCGCTGCTTTTTAAAACTATTAAGCTTGTGTTAATTACCTTATTCAGGGCATTTCCCCAAGACTCATTAAAACCATTCGACCGTTGAGACAAACATAACCGGAAGTGCTGAAATGCCTAAACAAATTTCGGTTTAGGACTTATTCTTTGCACCACCGTTAAGAGATAAGAAAAGATACTGCTCCTTCGTCTTTTATACGATAACAACAACAAGTTTGCTCGCAGTTTTCCACAGACAAAATGATTGAACATGATGGATTTTGATCCGTGGTTAATGGTGACTGTAGACACCATAGAGCTGTTCCTACAGTTGTTTCCTGACCTCGCTGTCTTTTCCCCTCTCTTGGCGATCTGCTGACTTTTATAACCATCGCTCACAGATGCTGAACCGCGCGTCCGCCCACCCTCGCCGACTTCTTCTCGCGCCGCCCGCTTGGCCCTTCGGGCATCCTCCTCCATCCCTGCCCGGCCCTTCCCTCACACTTGCGCACCGGCTGGTCACAACATCACCGCTTCTTCACAATACCACCCCATTCCCCTCGTTCCATCCCAAGCGGTCCATCAACTACAGTGGCTGGAGCAACTCTAAGCTTAGTATACCCCCCACCCATCGAACTTCACAGCAACTAACAACCTTTATAATACTAATCTATCAGAGGATTGCTACTCAGCCCACTCGTCGTGTCCCCCTCCTCACCTGCACCCTTGTCTCGGAACATTGTGAACTGTGATCTTGTGTGAATAGAAGGTTTTATGTGTGACGCACCTTGTCCAATGTCTGATGAGCCGATGATGATGATCAGCCAGCGCGCGCGCGCGCGCAAAGAAGTCCTGCACTCCTGGTAGTCGCCTTCGACACCTGTAGCATTTATAAAGTCAGCAGGACTGCAGAGAGGGAAAAGACAGCGAGTCAGAACACTCCGTAGGCAGCAGCTCTATGGTTGCCTGGCTTCTACAGTAATTAACCACATTCAATCCTCATGTTCCATCACATTTGTCTGTGGAAAACTGTGGCAGCAACTTCGCTCCTCTGTCTTTTTTCGTAAAAAACGAAGAAGCTCCGTTTTCTCTGACTTCCTCTCTCACCGGTGGTGCAAGATAGTACTAACCCTTCGCTCGCCCCTCCTCTCTCTCGCGCTTCGCCTTCGTCAGGTCAATGGCTTTCTTCTCTCGCGTCCCTCTCGCGCGCCTCGCCTCGAAATACACGGTAATTAACCCAGCTTAATCAGTTTTAACACACGCGGTGCCAACAAGTGGCTAACTTGAGCCACATTCCCCTCCTCCGCCCACACTGCCCGGCTTTAAGCTCCGCCTCGCTCGTCTGCCGTCGTCGACACGTAACATCCCCGTCTCGTACGTCCTTGTTTACCTATCCTCCCTAGCACTCTTCTTATTTTCTTCTATTCGCATGACTCTCCTTACTCAATTAAAGTGGGGTTACGCCGCTCCGCCCTCTCATGCCTAATAAAAACTAAGTAAATAAACGTGTGTTTACACAGACCCTAATTTGTCTAGAATCTAAAGTCCGCAATGTAAAATCGATCCGCTTGTGTAACGAGCCTTGCAAAGCTAACTTTCTTGGTCGGCCTACAAATAGGTTGTCCCTACGACCAACCGCTATTAAAATACTTTTCACAATCTTTCCTTGAACCTTTCTTTTTCCGAAATATAAAGCAACCGAAGCTACATGCTCTAAAGCTGCTGGGGCTGGAAAAGAACTCAAAGATTTAGAATTTTGGTGAATAAATCCACCCTGCTTCTTGTACCCACATGTAGCAGATTGGCTGCACACACACACACACACCACCACACCACCAACACCACACAACACCAACACATCACACACCAAACACACACACCACACACAACACAACACACCACACCCCACACACACACACACACAACACACACACACACACCACCACACACCAACACACACCAACACACCACACACAACACACACACACACACACACCACACACACACACACACACACACACACACACACCACACACACAACACACACAACACACACACACACACACACACACTAAAGCAAGCAGGTCCCTTCAAAGCTCTGAACAGGTCCGGGGGGCACAACAGAAAGGACGAGCAGAGCACAATGAGGCTCTGGTGTTTGAAAAGAGACTGGGACAAAGTGAGAGCCTGGTACAGCGTGAGGGATGGGACAGGCTTCTCTTTAATATGCTCCAGATTTTAACAGGCATGCAACACCCTGGTAATATTATATATATATATGTTAACGCGTTAAAGTCCCGGCCCTAGTATATATATATATATATGTATGTGCTTGTACATGTATGTACAAACATATGCATAAGTGCGAGCGGACAAACAGAAACACACTGATCTCAATTACACAGATTCCGACAGAAACAGGTCAAATGGAACAATAACTCTCACCAAAATAGACCTATGGAGCTGTAGATATGTGTGTGTGGAGATTTGATGACCCTGACAACCCCACCGCCTACACTTTAGGCATGCACAACGAAGCGTGCAATCCTCGTGAACACACACACGCACAAAGATAATTGAGCCTCAGTCTACGGCTCTGTCATGTGGTCTTAGTCAGGATTTAGGCTTTAGTCAATCTGAAGATTAGGTACTAGGGTTACTAGCAAGCACCCCATGCACTCACACACACATTTATATACAAACACGCACAATGTCATGTGCGATCATGTATTCGGATAGAGATGCAGTGTGCAAGGGGAAAGTGGGGGTTTCTGTTGTGTGGTGCCGACAGTCAAAAAACAACCTGAGACTGGTGCTGATCAATTTAAGCAGCAAATAATCCAGGGTTAATCTTGTTAAGACTCCATCGAAATCAGGTTGAAAAACACTGACATTTACTAGCATTTTATTAAGCTCACAACTGAACTGCTACAAAAAATCTACCAACCCTAAAAACAGCAGCATAGTTTTGGTTTAATTGGCTGCTTTGACAACATTATAAATGTTTGTTTAGTTAAATTCTCATATGTACTGATTTGCGATCTGCTCTTCAGTTCATCAGAACTAAAGAGTTCTGATTAACTAAGTACTGGGAACTAAATACAGCAAAGTACTTGGTATGAAAGCGCCTATTGTTATATGAGTATTTAGTAGCCTAAAATGTCTGTCTCAGGTAATACATCTAATTTCCCCATGAATATAAGAAAAATGAAATTATTAATAGGGATGCTCCGATCGATCGATCACCGATCGAGATCGGTCGATACTCACTCTCTAGCGATCGACCGGTGCTCTCTAAACATATCGATCGCGAGAGCCGATCGCATGACGTAAAATACATGACACTTTTCTCTGTGCGCGGCAAAACAAGCTCGCCAAAATGGCATCCCTAATTATTAATTAGATTTGACCAATTAAACTGAATATATGCCTATCAAATTCACTTTTGTAATTTTGTTCATATTATAATACATTTAATTTCAAAACCTTTCCACTTTGTGTTCTGTAATATTAAGAAAAAAATCTCAGTTTTGAAAGTGAAAAAGAGATAAATAAAACAATTATAACAAAACGATAAAGTATAATATCACAAATTATAAATAACTAACTGAGAATATATGGGCATAACTTAATGAGACAATTATCTAGTGATGATAGCTGATGAAATAACGCGGCATTTTTACCACTGTTGGCCTTCCATACATGTGGCATTGTTTGGACATTGGCTCTGGCATCACCCGTGGAGCGTGAAATAACGCAAAGATGCTGCTGATGTAAACTATGTGAGAATTGTAGCAGTAGGTTATTAGATATGTCTGTATTAATATGTCCTGCAAAAATAAAACACAGGAAGTGTAACTCATGTGTATTCTTTAAACTGCCCACATCAATCACGTAAAGTTGCATCATCCCGTGCAGCATGGCTCGGATACTCACGGATGCAGAGGCAGGCCAACAGCTTGGCCCCATTCTCCGGCACCGGGCACTCGGGGAACATAGGCTTCAGCAGGTAGGTGGCGAAAACATAGGCGACGATGTACTGCGAGGACGGCCGGATGATGAGCAACTCGATCCAGAGTTTGAGGAAAGCCGGCAGGGAGCCGTACACCTCCAGGATGTAGGCATAGTCCCCTCCGGATTTACTGATGGTGGTCCCCAGCTCCGCGTAGCAGAGGGCTCCGACAGTGGAGAACACCCCGCAAACCGCCCACACCACCAGGGACAGACCCACCGAGCCGGCCTCCTTCACCACGCCGGTTGGGGTGACGAAGATGCCCGAGCCTATGATGGTGCCCACGATGAGAGCCACACCGTTCAACAGGGTGATGGTCCTCTTCAGGGCGACCCCTCCCTCCGCTTTCTCTCCTCCGGCGGTGTGGTTGGGGCTGCTAGGCTCACTTCCCGGTTCTCCTCCCCGGTTCGACTCTCCCGTCTCCCCGCCCGGAGACAGCATCTTTTCCGTGACCTGCTTGTCGTCCTCCTCCTTGTCCCCAGAGGAGTTCGAGTTTCTCTTTTTTAACCCCGACATCTTCAGCTGAGTTTCCTCTTTCTTGTTCTTCACTTGAGGGACACAAAGCTTCGCGCTTTCCCGACTGTCGGTGTGTCGCAGGTCTCTTCTTCCTCTCTCTCCGTCGGTCGGGTGTGCGGTGTGATGCCGGCCGGGCTCAACCACGAGGTGTCCGCGGTTTGTCTGCTCGTCTGACTCAGAGCAGCGTGCTTTCACGCTACTATGTCTGGGTACAAAGACAGACACGCTAGCCCTCCTCCCTCAAGGCCAGCCCCTGCTCGGTGTCTCCTCCTCATCAGAGCCCGCATCACTTCGTGGCTTTACCGCCTTCTTGCGGCTTAAAGCGGTACTACCCCTCACTAAACACCTAATCCTACAACTCCTGTCTGATTTGGATTTGAGGGATCCGTCCCTGTTAGGTATACTTTGGTGTTATCTCTACATAAAACAACAAAGAAGCACCAGCAATAATACAGTAGCGAGAGTAATTTAACACTAAGGGTTCATTTCAATTGTTCCTGTCAGACAGCCAAACCAGCTGAACTGGTTTCATTGCATCATACTCTCTGAGGAAGAGAGAACATGTACAGATCTGGCCCAATCCCCCTCCGAGAAAGATTTAATTTGCATTCCATTTTTTTTTTGAGGACGCTTTAGTTCAATGCGTTGTCATATTAGAGTCATGGGACAGAACAACTTTGTATCACTCAAATAATCAGAAATCAGTGTATGTAGGTACTACTGAAATGTCAACATTTTACATTTAAAAATGCATATTAGACATTATCAAATGCACGATTTTGGTGAGTAAAAGGAGAAATCTACAATCGGATCAAGATTTACTTCCTGTAAAACTGTGCTGAGTGGTTTTGAGCACTAAACGGTGTGAAAGGACAGAGGTTGTCGTTTTCTCATACTGATATTCTGCACAAACTGTGCTGTTGTATTTGCTGTAAAGTGTCTTTACTGTAGGTTATTTTCTATTATATGTACAGCACTTTGGCTCGACCAGAAATCGTTTAAAAATGTGCTATATAAATAAAACTTGATTTGATTTGATCATGGTGATGAGGAAAAGCTGTTTAAAGAGATATGATATACGGGGAAGCGTTTCAGTTTGTATGTGAAAATGATCCCAGGCCATATTCAAACACGCATATCATTGCATGGTAAATCAATGAAGCTCCACCAACTACATTCTATAGATTCTCTTCAGCGATTATACATCAGAGCAGAAGGCATCTGGGACAGGAGTGGCTGAATATAGGGCGAGGCTTCGAGTGTGTGGTTAGAGCGTGGCCTCGCATTGTGTCAGAGTTTTACATTTTACACGTGGTGGTGATGCAAGACAGTGTTCTTGACAAGTTTAAAGTTACAGACACACACACCAAATTATGCAGCTGCTATTCAACTCTGATAGTTGACTCAAACCATCTTAATGCCAATCTAACACACACATACCCTGTGCCACATTGTGGTTGAAACTCAAAGTACTGTTGTTTCCTTCCTGTCACAAAAAAACTTTATCTTATGAAGCCCTTTTTTACCAATGTGATGAAAAAAAAGTTCCTCAGTTAGTCATTTTAATGTCAAACTTTCTCCAAATAATGACTAACTCTTGCAATATAATGAAAAGTGTCTTATTATATAGTATGTTTGAGCTACTTACTCATACACACGTATTTTTGATAAAAACGTAGAAGTTTGAAATACTAACTTATTTATTTTTAAAGGAGCTTTATTCTGCTAATTTCCAGGTTCATATGTTGTGTCTCCATGTTTCCATGTTTTAGTGTTCAAAAAGCTCTTTATTTTTCTCATACTGCCTGTGCTGCAGCACCTCTTTTCACCCTCTGTCTGAAACCAGAGCCCAGTCTGCTCTGATTGGTTAGCTGGCCGGCTCGGCTGTGATTGGTCCACAACTTAGAGGTGTCCTGCCCATAAGCCTATCACATACAATGTGTTTGAGTTCTAGCCAAGAGAAGAGCAGTTGTTATGGGAGTAAACAAAGGAGTCCATTACATTACATGTCACTAGTTAGACACTTTTATCCAAAGCAACTTACATACATTCAGTACTGTGGACAAATATGTATATAGTATATGTGATGCATATGTATATAACACACTACAGGAAAGGGAAAATCCCATATAGCATAATCGGCGCTCTTTAAGTCACTAAATCAGTATTTAAAGATAAGTTACTGATTGTTTTGAGAGTGTTCCCCTCAGCCTTTTTGGCTAATTGAAATGTCACTGAACATTTGTTGTAGCCAGCAAGCCAAACAAGCATGGCCAACAACAGGTTGCAAGAAGAAAAGAAAATTGTATTGACAACCGTTATGTAGGGGGTAAATAAGCGTCGACCAATCAGAGGGTTGGATCACAGTCCCTGCAGTCAACATTTCAAAGTGTCCTTGGGCCAGACACTTAACGCCAAACTGCTCCCTGTAGGCATGTCTACAGTATTGAAGTGCATGTAAGACTCTTTGGCGAGAAGTGTTTGCTTTATATATCAGTATGTGTTCAAGGATGCATTTATAATGTATTGTTGGTATGGCTAGCACACCAACAGCTGGAAATGATGAGTGGACATTATGTTGTAACACATTCAGGAATACTCTTTGTATTTGTTTTGTTCAGAGTTTGCCTTACATAATACTTTATATTTCACAAACATGTTTTTTCCTTATATGATGGAAAAAAAAAATCTTCAAGCTTTAGGTTTTTTTCCACTGCAGATTTAGATTTAGAAGTTCTCAACTATTTCTTACAGAAATGCAGAAAGTAGCCTTTTTGTGTAAAGATAAGTTACTCATAGTTTTTGAGAAAATTGCTCCTTATTTTGAGACAGTCATTTTTATGACATACTTGGTATAATTTTGAGACACAAATGCAATATTTTAAATACTAACTCAGTGTGTGAAAATAAGTTATTCATTATTTGAAGAAAGTTCCTCATTATTTTGAGAAAGTATGTAATTCTTTAGCTACCAAGTCACTTAGAACATAAGAAAAGCATTCTTGATTATTTTGGGATACTAACTTATTATTTTGAAATACAACAGTAAGTCATTCCTTTGCTATATTAAATCATTATTTTGAAATTCTAAATAATTATTTGGCGATACTAACCATATTTTGCTCTACTCTACTTTTTTGGGGATATTATGGAATTATTTTTGAGATATAAATAATTATTTTAGGTTCATAATCATTATTTTAGGTTCATAATCATTATTTTGATCAATCTTTATTTTCATATTCTAAGATATAATTTTTCAAATACAAATCATTTTTGTGATAAACATACTCATAATTGCATTAGCGTTTCTTGTTATAATAGCCTCCATACATATCTCAGTGGAGTTTGACTATGAAAGCCCCTCTGTGAGACAAACACACAGGTCTGAGCTGCGTTCTTAATACTTCTGAAACCTTAAACATTGACACACACACACACACACACACACACACACACACACACACACACACACACACACACACACACACACACACACACACACACACACACACACACACACACACACAATTTCCTTTGTTCAGACGAGTTGCACGAGGTCAACATGTATTAGCCAAATCAGCCTGAAGCAGCATCTTCAAATTGCCTTTATTCATTTACAGAAAGCCTGAAGAATTCAGGACCCATCTCAGGTCCACTCACAGATCAAGAGACACAAATATCCCATAATCCATGTCTGTCGTGTCATCCCTGGATCGTCTACCTGTGTCTGTCTGTCCAACAGTTATAGGCCCCCAAGAAACAAGGTAATACATGAAGGATCTTTTCTTTTGGCCCATGTCTTGGATGCTGAGTTCGTAACGTGCATTCTTTGGGACATGAGTGCATAGATAGAGATGAAAGTCCCCCGGCAGTCTAAGCCTCTTGCAGCATATGGGCTGGTTCAAGTCTAGCCTTAGCAAGCCCTAACTATAAGCTTTATCAAAGTCTAATACTAACAAACGAGGGAATGCAAAACTAATAGTAACCACTGGGACAATCAAATCCATCTTCCATCCATCCATCTTCTCCCGCTTATCCGTGGTCGGGTCGCGGAGGTAGCAGTTCCAGCAGAGAGCCCCAAACTTTCTTTTCCCTGGCCACATCAACCAGCTCTGACTGGGGGATCCCAACGCGCTCCCAGGCCAGCGAAGAGATATAATCCATCACCTGGTCCTAGNGACTTTGCTTTAAAATAGCAGATCTCTGTGACCGGATATAGTTTGGCTTAGAACCCGGCCCCACGAGGACGCATACGTTAAAACGCAAACGCAAAAAAGTCTTCCATTCACACGCATTCGATTCATTAACGTGTCCGTTCACACTAGACCGCTGGAAATGCTGAAGTACATATGCCAGGCCTGTAAGTGGCGCTGCTGCCGCCACAAAATACACCAAAAGCAGCAAAAAAGACCCCGGAGCATGGTTGCCATTGTTGCACTTCTGTTTATTCTCCGCGGTGGACGGCGTGTTCTCCTGCTGTATCTCTCAGGTAGTCCACCAGCAGATGAAAAACACCCACCTCTCCGCCTCTTCCAAGGAACGAGGGGACCGTGCAGAGTTTCCGTTAAAAAAATGTTCCGCCGGTCAACATGTCCGTTAAAGTTTAAATCTTCCGTACAAAATTAGAAAAGTGCCGGTCAGAGGTCTTCTTTGTTATTTATTGAGCTTTAAAACAAATTGATAACGACTCCGTTCTCTGTATAATAATATAATAATATTTAATAAACTGTGCCTGCCTCTCTTTTCCTCCCCCTCTTCTGACAGCCCAGCAGCAGCAGGAGACGTGGGGAGAGGGAGGCGGGGCTATTTCATCATTATCAGAAAATGATCACATAGGGCTTGCCCCAGAGTGAAAACACCTCATAACATTTCAAGCATTTTCAAGGATTTCCAGCACCTGTACGAACCCTGTGTAAAGTTAAAGATATATTTTGCGTGTCCAACTAATTTTTTCAGGGGCTGCAATTTAAATGTTTTGACTGGTACCTTGTGGAAGAGTTTAACGGAGTCGTATCCTGTGGAGCGGGCCCATTCCTTGGTGGAGACTCGCTTGATGTCCCCGTCCTTTTCTGAGGCTGTGGCGCGAGCTGCTGTGTCTTCAGGATTCCCTGTTTACAGAACACATACACACACATATTTTAAAGTAGGCTAGGTGTGTATTTCCTGCTGTATCACTATCCATTCTGTTAAAATAACTCATTAGATATTGGGAAAAAAATGCATTGCCAAGCTCTCACTCACATGCAGCCTCTGGGTCCGCTGTGTCGGGTGACACCTCTTGATCTGCGTCCTCTTCACCAAAAAGCTGACTATAGTGGCAATAAACAAACAGAGAAAATGACAATAAGAATAAATAATACTGGTCTATATTGTTAAGAGATAGTCTAGTTAGGTTTTAAAGTGCAATGCATCTTTGTCGGAAACAGTCAACTTTAATGATGCTTGTTCTTAGTTCAAATGAGATTGAGTGTTACTTGAAGAGGTACTTGGCCCAGACAATGCAGTGAATGGGTTCAGACGGCGTGTTTCTGATGGTGCATCCTGGGAAGGTTTTCTGGGTGGGTTTAGGTTGGCACTCGTAGCACTCAGTCAGTCCCTGAGGCAGCGGAAAGGAATAAAAGAAGGAAAAAGTGCGACAGTCATGGTGAGAGGCAGTATAGTTGGTGGTCATCACATTTTAATGGAAGATTTTGGCGATTGCATTTACTTTTTATAAATAATATAGCAGTGTTAATGTGAGAAGATTATCCTGCTGAACAAAAAATGTAAGTATCATAAACATGATTTTTCTGACAGAACTAATTTTCCGCAAAATTCTAAAATCCAAAAGGAGAATCCGCTTGCTTTTTGTCAAGTAAGCAATTGCTATGCTACTTTCTGGGTTTACCTAAAAAAAATACATCATCACTGCACCACTCTGTTGATGTCATTACAAGTTAAATAATGAAGCGCATGTTCTACCTTCTTGATGACTGTGACTTGTCCAAGGTATCCGGCTGTGCCACTCTCTATCAGAGGGATGTCTGCTGCCAAACACATCCTGTTCACATGGTTACGAGCCGCTATGGAGACAGAAAGGGTTTTATTTTCCTCATTATTTGAATGTGTTGGCAGTTAGGAGGAACACACTAGAGGTTTCTCAATTCTTAAATGTCCCCTCCTCGACTCCTATCCTCGATATTTAGTTTCGCCCACAGGAGATGCGAGCGGAGGAGCCGAGGAGAGAGGAGTGGAAGCAGCAGGCGGTTAGAGAAATGAGAACTCCTCTCCTCTGAGCGGTCGTTTTAAAGAGACGTCCATTAATGATGACAGGAGGCACAGCAGTACTCTGTCTGATGGACAGATGTGTTCATGACCACTTATATATTTACTTTGATTCATTCACAGTGCGGTATAATGAGACAATAACAGGCTACAGATGCAGACACACACACACTTTCAGAATCAAACAAGTATGAGAGCACTCTCATAATAACGTAACACAATCAGAGACTGGATATATCCCCCCCCTCTCTCTGGTCGCTGAAATGGGAAATTGAAATTACAGGCCCAAAGTTTTATTTACAAGTATTAAAAGTAAGCAGAGGACACCAAACCAATTGAGACCCGTCTGTCCACCGCATCTACGCACTGTACAACACACACACCTACACACTGTATCACACACACCTACAGCTCCTAAAGCATTATCAGGCTACAGCCGTTGTGTATTTTATTATGTGAAGCACTAAATGGTCTTAGAAAAATATCGACTATGTTTGTAGATATCTACTAAACTACAGCAAATAGAGAGTATGCCTGTTATACTTAGTGATATATATTATACACACTGCTCTGCTTTCTGCACGGACCTCACAGCTGTTCTCTCTGGAAACATCGCAACGCGATGAAAGCAGTTTCTAAAATAATATCCAGGGGATGCATGCAGAGCCGTCATTGGCTGAGATAAGTCCGGCCGTGCGTCACGCCTCCACCGTTCCCGGAAATGCATCCGTGGAGGAGCCGTGGAGGAACCATCAGTGTATCCTCGGTTATAGCTCCTACAGAGAGCCTACTCGATGCTTGATGTGCATTGAGAGAAATTAGATGTCCTTCAAAATGGCGCGCTGAAATTCATTTCCGGGCCACTACCGGAGGACCGAGGAGTCGAGGAGGGAAAATTTGATTATTGAAAAACCTCTACTATGTGTGGGAGGTGAGGTCACATGAGAACAGTACCTCTGTTATCCAGAGCATTCATCACCAGGATGAACTGTCTGAAGAACTCCGTGTTGTAGTCAGGGCTGTTGGGAGAAGAAAAAAAACACCATCCGTTTCCAAACTCTTTAATTAATTTTACAAATTAAAAAGAATAAGAAACAAAAGGAACTCACTTCATGATACTGTCATGGTAGGCAGTGATATTTGCAGTGGGACAAAACGTCAATGCACTCTCCTTGGCCACCTGCAAAACAACACAAACCAACTGAGCAAGAGAAACAGCACACCAAAAATGTTTCAGACTACGGTGTGGTGTTACAGAAAGAATGCATTTCAGCATTGTTTTTTTTATAATGAGCAGCGACAGAGGTTAATTGAGGATCTCATACCTGTGCTTTAGACTTGCCGACATGCTTCTTCTGGAAGAGGAACTGTCGGTTCAGGTTGCTGACATCAATTGTGTCTAAGTCAATCTGCAAAAATCAATATGGTTGTGATGTCATGTGACATATCAGAATCAGGCAGTTACAATGTACATGTCACAGCATTGGATGTAGCAATTTGTTTTGATTTTGTTTTGGAAAGAAATATGTCTGTGCAGGTAGACAAACAGGAACAGTTCCAATAAGGGGCTCTAAACTTCTTAAGATTACAGAATAGGGGCTGCACTATTAATTGTAAAGTGAAAATTAATAATGGTGAGAATGCATTAATCAATATTATTTTCAGTGTACCGGCACCCCTCAACGACACATAATCTTCAAATGTTTCTAAACACTTCACTCTGATCCAGTGGGTCAGAAATACCCAACATATTATGCAAAAAAATAACAACAAGATAACCTGACGCATATAAACAAAGGGGCGTCCAAATTACAGTGCATCTGAAATAAGTTTACTAGCTAATTTAGCACTGTTAATGGCGCCAAATGCTTCAGTTGAAAATGCTCCACCGGTGATCATATTTATACAAATTAATGCACGAGCATGGAAACCTAACTGTTCACTCGGGTACAGAGGGGTATCAAGAAACCACCAAGAATGTATGTGTTACTTCTTGGAATGTCACGACCCGGCAATTAGCCTCAGCCCGAAAACCCCCAGGCGCTGTCTGGGTAGCACAAAGACCTAGCTAGCTAGCTAACATACACACACACACAAACACAAGTGAGACGGACCACTTCTATGTTCTTGAAGCCGGTGAGGACGAGGTTCTTCAGGAGCTCGCAGCCGATACCTCCCGCTCCCACCACCAGCACCTTGCAGGTGGAGAGGGAGTCGGCGAGTTCTTTTCGGAGGGGACCCACCAGTTGGACCATGTTGACCGGCTAGAGACAGAATCCGAACTTGCAGCACAGAGAGGCTAGCGGCTTGCTTCTTCTTCTACAGAACCGGAGTCGCGCCTACTTCCGGGTTAATTAACTTCTTCTATGGTGTACTGGGGTGCTGATTGTTCAATTAGCCCCCTCTTCTGGACGGTTCTCAACGAAACGTAGAGTGCGTTTGTTTGGTGTTGAGGTGTAGGTATTATAAATAAACACATCCGGAGTTTTCCTATCAGTAACCAACGTAAATGCAATGGGCATTTTTCTGTATACTTCATTGTTGTCGCAACAATTTGAATAGACTATTTTACATGCTGGTTTTAAATAATTTCACACAAATGAAATGGAGACAATACAAACTTGACATAAAGGCACGTTGGATAATAAAATAACTTTAATTTAGTAAAATAATAACATAAATAAAAGACAGCAAAAACTGAATTAAATTAAACATCCATGATGATATTATGGCTGCACCCTTCCAAAATTTGCTCTAGGGGTCATCATATCATTTCAGGTAGTAATAAGCTCTGAGGAGAGACTTTGCATCTTTCTTTTTTATTTGTCTTCTAATCAACTAAGGGTTTCCAAGTCTCAGGAAATATCTCAGAATTAAATATGAAATATATATCAGAATCCATACCTTGGATTTGCAAAAACACCAGAAAAATCAGCTTGAGAGAATAACAGAAGGAATGTCCATTTTTTGGGGGGCTAGTTTTATTTAGTAAGGAAAGGAGTACAACAAGATCCTTTGCCATGGTCACTTAGTCAATACGTGTTTTAATCAATAACTATTTGACATCACTTGTGCACATGTAACACCATAGATATGAGCTACAGAGGCAATTTCTTTTCGAAGGAGTGTATTTATTCATACTCTACTATTAAAGCAATTGTATAAACTATTTTATGCAACAAGAATCTATGTGTTTGAAATAGGCCCATTCATTTGGGAAGACATCCCCTCACATTATTGTGTTTACGATGGATAGAAAGGTGTATGAGGCAATGATCATACGCCCTAAAGTTACTGACAGTGTCCCAACATGTCCAATAAGGCATGTTTACTCTGGGTCACTATAGTTCATGTGCACTTATAGCTGCAAGTGAGCAGAGTCTATTATGGTCAGGATGTTGATATCTCAGTTTTTACTGTAAAACATATTTTTATGGGACTTGTGAAAAAAATCTACCATAAAAAACTTATGAAATTATGTGATTCCCTGATTATGAGTTCACCGGCTGGGGTATTCTGTATCCATGGTAAAACCAAAGTCTGATGACGTTTTAATATTCTGCCTTACTTTGCTATCTTAGTGTAGTTTAAAACTTGAATTGGGGGGTTTAAAGATCAAAATGCCACTGAACAACAAAGCAAACCTGTATAAATAACGAGTAGGCCTACCTACAGTACATACATATAGGCAGTTAAAATGTTACACAGGCTTTTATGGGGGCATTAAAGTCTTTCCTAATTTATAGTTTTAATCTGTAGGCCATAGAAACACCCTACGTTTTTTCTCTTAATTCTGTCTCTGTAAAACAAAATGGTTAATTGTGAAACACAATTTTAAATGTCACATGTGTTTTTTCAATGTTATAATGATGTTGTTGTACCTTATACTATGTTACTTTCGTAATTATTATCATTTCTACATAATAAAGTCTGAAAGAAGTGGAGTTTACGCTGAACTTGAAAGAACCATAAATTGATTAGAAAGTTCTGTGTTGAACCTCGGCAGATTTGTTAATATTATTTCTCTGGTTAGTTTATATTGTCAAGTCTGTGGCTGCTAACACTTTTTGTTGTCTGCCATTTCCTGTTTTACTTTGTCATTTACCTGCCCCGACCTTATTGTTTGCACCTGTAGAGTCCCTTGTATTTGTATATATTCTGTGTGTTCCCTGTGCCCAGTGCCAGATCGTTTTCAAACCTTGTGATACTAGTCTGCCAGTTTGTTTTCTTAGCTATCGTGAATTTCAGTAGTTTTTTGTAAAGTCATTTTTTGGAGTCCTAACTCTGCTTTTGTGAGTGTATTGCCTTGCCTATCAGCGCAAGTAAAAACCTTTTTTTGAATCATCTTTTGTCTGGAGTCGTGCATTTGGGTCCTATCTTTTTTTGTGTGCTCCAGTCGTAACATTACGATCTGGCCAACAAATGGACTCAGCCGACTCTCAAACCCTGAGAGCAGCGCTCGGCTCTCAGGCTCAACGCCTGCAGCAACAGGAGGAGGACCCTTAAACCAGGGAGTGATGACCCTGACTAACAGCCAGAGTGAGTTTCGTGGCGCAGTTATGATGCAAATCAATCACCTGGCTGAACTGGTCCATAATGTACTTACACGTTTGGATAGTGTGCCCGTCGCTCCTCCCGCCACGGCTGCCCCAGCCCCAGAGACTACAGCTGAATTTCTCATGCTAGCTTCCATGATTCGTCTTGCTCCTCCTGCGAAGTTTTCAGGCGAGTCTGGCAATTGCAGTCCTTTCCTAACGCAGTGTGACCTGCATTTTACCTGCCAGCCTGCTGCTGCTTTCCCCAGCGATCTAGCCAAGGTGGCGTTCATTGTGTCCCACCTCACGGGAAGATCGGAAGCCTGGGCTACGGCGGAGTGGGCACGGAAGTCTCCGGTGTGT